GTCAGGGACACCAGGCAGGATTCTTGTGGACAACCGTGTTTTAGAAGAACCATGATGTCTGCATGGCTGTTCATCCAAAGTAGTTATGAATTTCACCTAGTTCTCTAGGTAGGACCCTGTCCAGAGTGGGCCAAGCCCAAATGCCAAAGAGAACACAGGCTGTGTCCAACTATGAAAACATTTCAATGTCACAGCAAGGCTTTGGAGCCTGAATATGTGGCCCACATATTTCAAGCAATAACTGTTATAACAAAATTATAGGACGGCTGGTGTAGGCCCATGGAAAACGCACTTTAAATGACGTACAGGGGCCACAAACTCAAATGTTTATGGGGCCAGTCATATAACATGAATGTATGAGTGGGTGCAGATAGGGCAATATGGAGTGGTGGAGCTTGTGGCTAACTGGAGAACACATGACCCATCCAAAGGCATTCTGGGTAACAGCAACACTATGTCACCAACAAAACACATCTGTGGACACATGCAGTCCATGGGATGTCAGCTTGCAACCACTCTGTAGCACAACCGTGGAACAGGGACAAAGGTCTTCAAATAGAAAATACATTTGAAAGAAGTTTCCAATCTACCATGAGGAGTTTTGATTGACATCACAGGGAGGCTGGCTTCCGCCACTGGCCTCTCTTGCCTCTGGACTGGAAATGGATGATGGAGTTTAATTCATATGCAGGTCCTTTCTAGATACTCCCCTCTAAAAGAGTCTAGAGGTAGAGGCAGCTTTGTCTTCCTGACGAAGGTGCAGGGAGCCTGTGCATTAAGGGGGAGCCATGAGCAATGAAACGGGAAATAATCGATAATAGAAAGCACAGTGCGATCTACACGCTGTCCTCCTCCCTGGGAGCAGTTTGGACATTTATAGGTGTGGCTTGATGGGTCTGGCTGAGCCCATCTTCTGCGGTCAGTGTCACTTTGCAGATGTTGCACAATGCAGCCCCCTGGAAGTTCTTCCCCCCCAGGGCTTTCCAGGTCTCAGTGACCAAACTCCCTCCAGCCCCAGGTGTAGAGCAGGGGCATGGGGGGGGTCAAGGACACCGAGACCCGCTCCCCAAAGGACCATGTGGCTTGTCTCCAGTCTTGCTGACTGTGCTCTCCCTGAGGCTCTGCTGGCAGAGACGAGAGCCAGGAGAGGGATTTGCACTTACATCTTCCCCACAGGGGTGGTTAGTTTCCTGTGGCGGCCGTAACCAAATACCAGAAGCTGAGTGACGTGAAACAGCAGTAGTGTACTGTCTCACAGTCCTGGAGGTCAAGGTGTCGGCTGGGTCATGCTTCCTATGGAGATTCTGGGAGACGAGCCTTCCTGATTACTTCAGCTTCTGGTGGCTGCCAGTGGTCCTTGGCTTGTGGCCACAAACCCCAGTCTCTGCCTCCATCTCCTTCTGTGTGTCTGTGTCTTCTCCTTTTCTGTCTCTTATAGGGACACTTGTTATTAGAATGATAGCACCTTGAGATCCTTAATTACATCTACAAAGACCGTTTTCCCAAATATGGTCACATTTGCAGGTTCTAGGGGTTAGAATCTAGAACATGTCTTTTGGGGGGACACTATTCAACCCATGACAGGCATTTTTGGTGTCCTCTTCAGCTCTTAAAATTCAAAACAGGGGCTTCCCTGGTGGCGCAGTGGTTGAGAGTCCGCCTGCCGATGCAGGGGCCGCGGGTTCGTGCCACATGCTATTTAAAACGTCTACTCTTGGGACTTCCTTGGCGGTCCAGTGGTTAAGATTCCATGCTTCTGCTGCAGGGGACACAGGTTCGATCCCTGATTGGGGAACTAAGATCTCGCATGCCACATGAGAAAAAAAAAAAAAAAATTCAGAACAGAAATGGATATTATGCTTGAGGCCAAAGTTTACTTTCCTTCCAGAGGCCAGCTCGTTGACATGGCTATGCCTCCAGGAAAAATTCTGGAACCAGGAGGAATTCTGGAGGAACCAGGAAGGCCGTCTATTTTTCTGGATAGTGTATTTGTGGAAGTAGACGTTCCATTCCAGAGTGGCCTCGGAAAACTGTGACCACTGGCTCTCATCTGGGCGTGGATCCCCTGAATGTCAGAGATGCTGCATCCCAGAGGAAGGTGCAAGGGCAGGGCCTCTGCCTGCAGGAGCTGACAGCTTAGGGGACATCTACTCCCTGCCCCCGTGTACCACTAACTACCGTAAGCAGGGCCTTGCTTCTTAGCACTCTGGCCTAGGATCCTTCAGACAGATTATTAAGTTCAACAGATGGGATGAGGAGCTAGAGCAAACCGAAGAATGTTGTGACTAAGTGTCTAGGATTTCACCTTGGATTGATATGCTGATTATTGCCATGGGTCACAGAGAAGAAAAAAAAACCAAAAAATTAAAAAAAAACTACATCGGGCTTCCCTGGTGGCGCAGTGGTTGAGAGTCCGCCTGCCGACGCAGGGGACACGGGTTCGTGCCCCGGTCCGGGAAGATCCCACATGCCGCGGAGCGGCTGGGCCCGTGAGCCATGGCCGCTGAGGCTGCGCGTCCGGAGCCTGTGCTCCGCAACAGGAGAGGCCACAACAGTGAGAGGCCCGTGTACCGCAAAAAAAAACAAAACAAAAAACCAACTACATCTATGTTTGTTTGGTCTCTGTATCTAAAGCTTCATCGTAGAAGACTGAGGGAGGGTCAGCGCTAATAAAATCTCTGCAAGTTCTGCCATTTGAATCCTAATATAAAATATTTGGGATAAATATTCCAGTAGTCATTGCATTCAGCTTAAGATGATTATGGAGAGATTCTAGGAATATTGTAAGAAATAATGGGAAGTATAAGAAAAAGGAAAAGTATAATGTCGTAGTCCCAGGGGCACTGCAAGGAATAGATTGCAAAGCCAAAGATATTAACAGGTGTTTCTGTTGAAGAAAGAATGACATCTCGGGAAATCCACAGATGGGACCTCAGTTTGATAATGTTGCCTCTCCTTGGGGGCCATAAGCAAATTGGTTAACTGAGTCTCCCCTAAACATTGGCTCACACCCACCCCCATAAGTAGCTACACAGAAACTTCGAGAGGCCGCTGCCCCGTCCTCACACAATGGCCCCTGAGAAATGGGAGTCAGAGGACGTGGCTTGGGCCCCAGCCATGTCCTCGAGCTCTGTTTTCCTGGCGATGCCCACCTGCCACGGGTGTGTGTAGGGGGGTAAATGAGGCAGTGTATGCGAAAATGAGCTGGAAATAGGAACCTTGTATTTCGTTGTTAAAAAAGCAACCCTCACAAGGAAAAGCACTGCAGAGGCTCTTTCCTACCAGCATGGGCCACACTCCACAGCATGACCTTACTTCTGCCAGCTGAGGCCAGGGACATGCCGATGGTAAGCCTGGGAAGAAAAGAGCAGGTCCTGCGCTGTTCCAGAGCCCCGCCTCGGCGTCTGGGCTGGACGGTGGTTACGCGTTTGACCCTGGCTTCATCCCTAGGGGGTGCGGGGCCTCACAGACGTTGTATTTCCACTTCCCACCCCCAGACAGACTGCTTACCCATGTGAAAATTAACTAAAATTTCATTCTGATTATAAAACGAATACCCCCTCCTTGTTGGAAATTCAGAAAATCAAGAAAAGAAAATGAAAACTACCTGTAATTTCATCAGTCTGATACACGAGAGCTAGTATGTCGAGTCCTTCGCGCAGGTCTGCCACCGTTCTAAATCTTCACACGAACGCTCTAACCCTCACAGCAACCGATGGTGTAGGGACTGTGATTATCTTCCTGTTATAGTCAGGGAAACCGAGGCACAGGGAGTTAGTAACTTGTCCAAGATCACAGTTAGTTGGGCGTGTATATGTGTGTGTATGTGTGTGTGTGCACGCGCACACTTTTTCATAATTAGGATTATACGTTATGCAGTTGAGTCTTGTCTTTCCTTCATTTAACGTTGTGTCATATGTATTCCCCGTCATATTACAAATTCTTATCAATCATCATGTTAGTGACTGCTTGGTACCCCATCACTTATATACCCTCTTCCCTATTATTAGACAGGTAAGTCTCCCCTTCCTTTTCTCCTGAATTATAAGCAGGACTTCAAGGAATCTCTTTCTTTGCCCTTGAGTCTTTCTTTGCATTACTCATGATTCCCACAGGAGTAACTCCTAGATATGAAATCGGTGTGTCAGTGGGTATGAGCTGTGGATCCAGAAGAACCTCACCAATTCACCTTCCTCCCCACAGCACGCCCTCTGCTCTCCCGAAGGCCCTGAGGGGAATCAGTGAAGTTTAGGTGCCCCTGGAGGCTTTGGAAGTGGGCTGCCCAGAGGTCCAGAGTTTGTAGCCCTGCACAGAAGATGGGCCTGCAGGCCCAGCTTTCAGAAATTACATAGCCATGTAGAGGTCTCTCCTACGTGAGCATCATAGGAAATTCGTGGGCCCAGGGAAAACTAGGGTTAATGGGAGGAAGCATAAATGGCAGTAGAGTAACAAACAGTTTCACTGTGAGTACACGCATGTTCTGGGGAACAGCAAAACTCAGCAACAATGTGACACTTCGTTGAATGCACTTAACTTACTATTGGGTTTAAATAACTACATCACACACACCCCCTTCCTTCCACCTATTATGAGTTTGGGGGATTATAACGTAATTATGGCATTTTGGAAACTAAAAAACAAAACCAATGTTATCACTCTGCCAGGTGCCAATGTCGTCTGGGGACTAATTGCTTCTCCCAGTGAAAGCAGTGACAATTAAATTCGAGTTCTTCACAGGGGAGGGGAGGAGTTGCTCCATGGACCCCGTGAAATCGTAGGCAAAAATCTTGCGTGTGCGCACGTGCGTGTGAGCGCGCACACGCACGCGTGCATCTTCCTGTGGAGAAATCCCACTCCCTTAGTCAAGTTCTCAAAGGTGTCCTTGACCCCAGAAAGGTCCAGAACCTGGGCTGTAGGTCAGCCGCGGGGGCAGCCTCCTCCAAGGCAGGTGAAGGGCTGCCTAATCGTTCCCCAGGACTCATGTCACCTTGTGCTTGCAGTGCTGGTGAAGGGCCAGGTCACCACCAAGTACTACCGGCTGCTGTCCAAGCTTGGCGGCTGGGTGTGGGTGCAGAGCTGCGCCACCGTCGTGCACAACAGCCGCTCGTCCCGGCCCCACTGCATCGTGAGTGTCAATTATGTCCTCACGTAAGTCAGACGCATTTGTTTCTCTCCTTGCTCTCTCCTTCCCCCCCGGCCCTCATCAGATCGCTCCCGGAAGCACCATCTCTCTCTCCCTCTGTCTTTCTGGAACTGTTCATTTGTCTCCTGTTTTGTTTTACTGAACAATCTGGTTGCCTGGGAAGGGCTGAAGGATTCCTGTATCAGCACTGAGGGCCGGGTATGCCCGGAGGCTGAGGTTGGGATCAGACGGTCCGGGTGAGGGGGGTGAGTGGGCAGAGGGCGGGTGGGCGATGCCCCCCATCTTGAACAGGATGGAAAGGGGATGCACATCCCGGACCAAGAATACAAATTTATACTCTCTGGGCCCACAGACATTTAGGTCATCCTGCTGCTTCTGCCATTTGAGACAGGGGCTATCTCCCATTTTTTCCTTGTCTTCCTACGTAGCCTGTTGTAAATGATAGTGAATATTTAGCACCTTCAAAACTCTAGAACGTTAAGTTCAGTCGCAGTTAATACCATTAGAAGCAACGGGACCTAAGTCTACCTGGGACCATATGTTCCTCTCCGCCCACCGTGGCTATTATGTGTTAAATCACTTTGCACCCAGCCCCACCCTGAACAGGGTCCTCTCTAATGCAGTGAGGTTTCAGGCTCTCCGTTCTTTCACAGAGTGAGTGCCAGGTTCCTGGGGGTTTGGGGTGGGGTGAGAGGTAGGTGGTGTTTTTTTTTGAGAGGTGGAGTGATTTTAGCAAAACTGTACGGGAGAAAGCATTTTAGTCCCTTAATGATTCTACCTGAGCAAACAGGCCCACGTGGGCTGGGGCTGGGGCTCTGGGCAACTTCCCCTCCTGAGAGTTGGCTCTTTAGGGCAGGAATGGGCCCCTGGTGTGGAAGTGGACAAGGCTGGAAGCCAGGCTCCTGGACCGCCAAGGGTCCCCACTCACACCTCCCTGGTGCTAAACAGGGAAGCAGCTGGGCCACAGACACTTACGCTGATCAGTAGCATTTCTGTCCTGACACCCTGCCTAGTGGCGAATGGTGTCCGCAGGAAACGTGCGTGGGGCTCACGCGGTGGGAGAGAGCCATACTGCGCTCCCTCTATTCCTGCCGAAGAACACTGACGTCACTTGGCATCTCCCAGGGGCTCTGAGCTCGAGGCTGTGGGGTGGCTTTTATAATGAGGGTGGGCCGTCCCTCAAACCCCAGCCCCATCCACTTAGTGGAAACGACACAGTGGAGCTTCTCGAATGAACTCGCCCTGGGGACGGTCCCGGAGCCCGCCCTTCCTCACAGCCCGTGGACATGACCTGTCCCGCTCTTTTGTTCCTCAGGGACATCGAATACAAGGAACTGCAGTTGTCCCTGGACCAGGTGTCCACGTCCAAGTCCCAGGACTCCTGGAGGACCGCCTTGTCTACCTCACAAGAAACTAGGAAATTAGCTAAACCCAAAAACACGAAGATGAAGACAAAGCTGAGAACAAACCCTTACCCCCCACAGGTAACACACACCACCTGCAGGGGCTCGGGGCACCTGGGCACCTCAAGGAATGACGAACCTCTGAACGCACTCAGGGGTCTCCCAGCCCGGGAGTTTCCCTGGGATGTCCCGCCCACAGGGTGGAGACGCGGCCTGGGGAAGGCAGGCAGAGCTAACATCCAGGGGGATGAGTCAGGTCTAGGAAACAGACTACACTGGGGAGGCTGATCAGCTGCTAGAATCCATGTAAACGTGGCTCAGAACACTGGTGCCTCGTGTTTCCATAACATTTGATTTTAATGGAAACCTTCCCTCTCTCTTTTAAAGTCTTTTGCAAGCTCTCAGAAGGTGCAAGTGGTTGCATGTATCTGGTGTGTTGTCACTTGGGGTGAGGAGATATCTTTCCACCCAGAGGGTGGGTCCCTGGGGTGCTGTCTCCTGGGCACCTGTCCCTGGTGGGACCTCGCGCTGGTGGCTGGGGTGGGCCCAGCCCTGGGATGGGGCGGGCACTATAGGATCGGAAAGCAGTTGGCCGCTCGCCCCTCGGTGAGCCCTTCATCCGTCTTCTTTGCTCGGCAGCAGTACAGCTCGTTCCAAATGGACAAACTGGAATGCGGCCAGCTCGGAAGCTGGAGAGCCAGCCCCCCCGTCCACACCCCAGTTCCCCCAGAACAGCAGCTCCATTCAGAAGGTGGCGACCTTCTGTACGCCCCGTCCTACAGCCTGCCCTTCTCCTACCATTACGGACACTTCCCTCTGGACTCTCACGTCTTCAGCAGCAAAAAGCCAATGTTGCCGGCCAAGTTCGGGCAGCCCCAAGGATCCCCGTGCGAGGTGGCACGCTTTCTGCTGAGCACGCTGCCAGCCAGCGGTGAGTGCCAGTGGCACTATGCCAACCCCCTAGTGCCGGGCAGCCAGTCTCCAGCTAAAAGCCTTTCTGAGCCGCCGGTGAACCCTGCTCGGCACAGCCTCGTGCCAAACTACGAAGGTGGGTCATGTTTGCACGAGGGGAGGGGGCAGGGCTGTGCACAGCACTGTCGGTGGGTGGCAGATGGAAAAAGAACCCTCACACTGTGGGCAAACTTTCCCTTTTTTTCTGCTTCTAAGTGGGAATGGCTGTGCTTTCCTGCCCTCACTGAGAGCGCTTCACGAGGGTGCCGAAAGCTGGGCAACTGAGCTGGTGTGCCTCGTGGGCACCAGGGACACTGTAAAGGGCAGAGGAAACTGGGTGTTCGGCCACCCTCCATAAAAATCCTGGCCCCGTTTGCTCCCCAAAAGCGAAGCAAAATGATTTTCCTATGTACTGAGAACCCCCAGCTATATTTATTTTATAAGATTACTTTCTGCTCCACCCAGAAATGAACATGGAACACTATTGGTTTTCTTCCCATGCCAGTTTTCGAAGTGTGGGAAGCGGTGGTGGAAAATCACAGGCTCAGGGACAGAAACGCCACTCACCACCCCAGGGCAAATAGCACAACCCCTCCAGGACTCAGTTTCTTCATCTGTAAGACAGGAACATAGGCCATGTCAATTGCCTACCGCAGGGCCTGGCACACAGCCAGCTCCTCCTGGCGGCAGGCAAGCAGAGGTCCTCTGTGGAGGTGCCACCAGCTGCCCCAGGCCCAGCAGACTCCTGCCTGATCCTTGGGACAATCCCAGGCAGAGGGTAGAAGGTGGGGATTGAGGGTTAGCTCAGCGGGGTGTGTTCCTGTTTCACCCAGACCTAACTACTGCTCAGACTGTAGACGAGGTTTGTGCATATGTCCTGCGGGGACCACTGAATCCCAGAGAAGAGTCACCAGCGTAAGGAGAGCTCCCTGGAGTCCCCCTCCCACCTTTCTCTCTTTGCAGGCAGCTGGGGCTCTCTGCTGCTCCTAGGGCTGCTTTGTGAACCTCTTGCTCTGTGCTGTGACCCAGTCTTTACAAGCCTGTGAGATAAATTTGGTCTCCACAGACAGGAAGAGGGCTAGATCCCAGGAGAAATCTAACCTTGTTGGAGATTAACAGGACATGTTTCTCAAAAGTAGCCAGTTTAAAAAAGAACATGCCAGCAGCCAGGGCAGGGCAGCTCTGCCTTTTGGCCTCAGGCAGTCCAGAGATTTGAATCCCCAGCACCCATCAGCGCATAGGATCCCTCAAATAACCAAGGAAGGACCAAAGGAAAAAAACAAAGCAGAGGGTTTTCATAACAGCTGAAAATACTATCCACTTGAGACTGAGTTGAAAAGATTATTTTTGTGTGTATGCGGGAGTTGACCAATGAGATAACACAGTATTTGATTTTTTAAATTGCTATTTTGAAAGTGAAAGAGCTTAATAACCACTTCATTTGTCAGTCACTTGGTAAATAACGGACCAAAGATGCCAACTGGGGGCAGTTTGTGATCGAATTCCTAGACTTTTTGATATTAAAGGAAGAGGAAGGATGTCTTAAGGTTGGAAAAAAAAAAAAAAAGACTTCCCTGGTGGTCCAAAGGTTCAGACTCCACGCTCCCAATGCAGGGGACCTGGGTTCGATCCGAGGTCAGGGAACTAGATCCTGCATGGCACAACTAAGACCCCATGCAACCAAATAAGTAAATAAATAAATATTAAAAAAAAAAAAAAGACGGGGGGGGGAGCCAGTTGATTGCAGACATCTAATTAGTGACGATGGTCATTACTTTAATTATGACTAAAGGGAGCAGGGTGATAACCGCTTCACCCTCCCCACTGAGGTGAAAGCAAGAAAGCGCACGGCAGCCTGGGGTCACCTAACACTAGGGCCGAGGAAGCCTCTGGACCAACGCTGTCCAATATGGTGGCCACCAACCCCGTTCGGCCAGTGCAATGAGATGTGCTCGGAGTGTCTGCACTGCATTTCAAAGACAGAAACAAAGAATACAATTTCTCCCGATTTTTATATTAATTACACACTGAAATAATAGTCTAGCTATGCTGCATTAAATTAAGTATCTTACTAACACTAACTCCATCTGTCTCTCTTCACTTTTTCCTGTGGCTGCTAGAACACTGCAACTGGCATCCTGTGATTGGACCTCGCGGGCCCGGCACGCACGCGGGAAGGGGCGAGGGCGGCTCCGGGGCTCGAGCGCGCGGGCGGCAGGGGTGGCCCAGGGGTGGTGGCGGCCCCAGGGCCCCCCGGCTTGGTGTCGCTCTGGGCATGTCCCCTTCCTCCCTCGCGCGGGCGTCTAACGTGTCGCCTGTCCCCGCAGCGCCCGCCGCCGCCGCCGCGCGCAGGTTCGGCGAGGACACCGCGCCACCGCTGCCGAGCTTCCCGAGCTGCGGGCACTACCGCGAGGAGCCGGCGCTGGGCCCGGCCAAGGCCGCCCGCCAGGCCGCCCGCGACGGCGCGCGGCTGGCGCTGGCCCGCGCGGCCCCCGAGTGCTGCGCGCCGCCAGCCCCCGAGCCGCCGGGCACGCCGGCGCAGCTGCCCTTCGTGCTGCTCAACTACCACCGCGTGCTGGCCCGCCGCGGGCCGCTGGGGGGCGCTGCGCCCGCCGCCCCCGCCCTCGCCGGCGGCCCCGGCGCCCCCGATGCAGGGGCCGGCGCGCTGCGACCCCGGGCCCCCGACCCCGCCGCCGCCGCCGCCGCCGCCGCCGCCGCCTCGCCGCCCGGCGCGCCCCTGCCGCACTACCTGGGCGCCTCGGTCATCATTACCAACGGCAGGTGACCCGCCCGGGCCGGACCGCGGAGTCTCGCGCGGGGCTGCCCGCGGGGAGAAGCCATAGGCCAGCCTCTTTGGCTCCCATTTTACCAAGTCCAGCCGAGTCAAGAGGGACGAGACGTATATGCACGATTTAAATTAATTTATACAGAGACAACTATTTTACTAGAACTCCACCGCCGACTTTTAGATTTTTACCGTAGATGCCATAACCGTCCGTGTAGAGGACAGAGACGCGGCGACGTTGGGGAGACGTGACCGTCCGACCTTTGTTCCGCAAGAGCCGGGTTTTCTGAAAGGGCGTAGCTGAGCGTCCCCGACCGCCCACGTGTGGCCTCAACTACTCCGTCTTTGGGGGGACTTGGTTTCCTCACCTTGAAATCAGGCTTGCGCGCCTTGCGTGTCCCCGATGTTCAGTAACAGTCCCTCTGGGGGCTTGGAGGAGGCTCCGCTCCACAGATAGCCTCAACTCTGCGGAGGAAACCCCACCCTGATGCAGTCAGGGGTGCCGGTGGGTGGCCAACCTGGAAGCTTCCTGTATCCAGAGCTCTTTTAGATTAAGTCAAGGCAGAATGTGATGATTTAAGTCCCATGAACGGACAACTCCGTTGTCTTTAAAAGTCATTCATGAGTCTAATTAAAAGCTGTTGTTTTGATCTAACCCTTTCCTTAATACAAACATCAACAAGCCCAGACAAGGGGGTGAACGTGGGTGCGCTTCACGAGTGCGTTCACAAGCTCTTATTCCCTCCTACCCCATGAACTCTTGAGAACAGCACCTTCAGAAATATATGGAATAGGCATTAAATGCAAATATATATATATATATATATATATATATATATATATATAGCCAGATATTTTATGAGAATGACATGTGGATGATTTCGGTGCCCAGTGGATTGGCTACCCCTGTCAAGTTTGATGACAAGGCAAAATCCCTCTGGCCCACACAGACCTGTAATTCCCTAGGCTCGTGTTTGCTACAAGTAGTGCTAATAAAGTTAGTTACATTGCATGTGCAATATGGAAGACTGTCAATGGACTGCGCCTTGTGGAAGAAAACATGCTAAAGGGATGTAATGAAAATGATGTACTTGTTGTCTTCAGCGTTTTCTGCATTTTATACAGAGCAAGAAAACTCCATATGAACATGTCATGTGTATAACAGGTAAACAGAAATCTTTTTATAAAGAACCAGCAGGGACTTCCCTGGTGGCGCAGTGGCTAAGACTCCGTGCTCCCAATGCAGGGGGCCCGGGGTTCAATCCCTGGACAGGGAACTAGATCCCACATGCATGCTGCAACTCAGAGTTCACATGCCACAACTAAGGAGCCCACATGCAGCAACTAAGACCCGGCACAACCAAATAATGTTTTTTTAAAAAAGCACCAGCAGTGTTTTTAAAATAAACTTCCATTAATTTTTGTTTTATTTTTGTACTTTTGCTTCAAGATTTCACCATTTAAAAATTCTATCATGGTTCTGCAGTGGATCAATGCACTGAACCACCCTTTTTTCAATCTGCTCCATACGATAAACGCTCCCTCATTTTGCTGCTTTTTCAAAAATGGTTTACTTTTAGGAAACTATGTCCACCTTTCTGAGTGGAAAGGTTGTTCACAAATGTCTTTAACTCACTGTGCTAGAATCAAAGTGCACCTACGTCAACTGTTCTTAAAATGTGAAAGGACCTGTTGCCCACCCAGTGTCACTATGAGGACCTGCCTCATTCCGTAGGTGTCAGTTGCCTTATGGTACAATTTGCAAATTTAGGAACATGTGTCTTGCAGTGAAGAGACAGGGTCAGAAGAATTATAGGCATACACCCCTACACAGCACTTAGCCATACCTCATGAGCAGCTTGTTGTGAGTGTGTGCACACATAAAATAAGCCTGGGGTATTATTTTTGTGCTGTCCAGACCCGTAATTAAACCATGATTCCAGGAAGGTGCAGGTTTGATGAGCAGGAGATTCACCTGACATTTTTCAATAAAGTACTGTAAAATGCTTTTGTGTCTACCTTGTCATTAACCATTGGGGGCTGTATAAATAGATACAAACCACGAAGGCTTTCGGAGCAGTTTAAGATCAAAGGTTACTGTTAGGAAAGAAGAGCGTTATAGATTTATAAATGAGAACATAAATACGCTTAACGATGAGTGTATATGTACTTGAAAAATAAAACGTGTACTAGGAAAAACTTCCTTGCCTAAACAAACATCACAGTTTTCATAGCCTAGAACATGAAGGAAGATTCCTCTGCAAGCCGGCTTCCAGGCAGCCAGCAGCTCGGAGAAAAGTTAACAGAGCAGTTACTATGGCAACCTGATATGATTACCTCCATCTTTTAGTCTGCACATTTAAGCTGGGGATATCGTTTCCTGACTTCTGTGAGGCTCTGGAAGAGGAAGAGGAAGCATTTTAATAAATATGTATCTCTTTCACAAAAAAAGAAGAAAAAAATTGTAGTGGGTCCTAACATGTTGACAAAAATGCCAAATCAAATGGATTTGAGAAATCAGCCCAGTTCAAGACTGACTCGGCCCTCCCTCCACTGGGCCTCCCAGAGAAAGGAATTCCTTTATGTTCATTGAAGCCCTTTCTAGAAAAGCCATTCCACTCATACCTTTGTAGAGAAGTGAACAGGGTGTGAAGGGCTGCTCGGAGGAAATCTGCAAGAGCCTGTGTTTTCTGCTCCCTTTCCCCGACCCCTTTTGTCATTTTAAAGTCCGATGGGCCAGGCCTTCCTCCTTTGGATCCTAAGGGTGGGGGAGGTGTAATCCTTCAACGAATCCTGTTTCGAGTCTACTGTAATTTATTGTAACTGTGAGACAGTTAAGGTAGACTTTGGGGGCTGGTACCGATGAAAGAACACTTTAAAATAAATTCCATAAAATTACAGTAGCTTAAAATCTTAGTGAATAGCAGCCCTTGGGTTATCTAAGGTGCGTTACTCGAGCTATTCCTTAACTTAAGTATGATAAATACGGTTAAAATCTTGGGGAAAAACTGTCGAGACAAAAGTCGAGCAGTTTCCACAAAAGAGAACAATTCGACAACAACAGAATCTGTTCTTATATTAAATTTGTTGTTATACTCAATTTTCAAATTAAAAATTGACATTAGTAAATTTATTTCTCACCTCAGTTTTGTTTTTTTTTTTTAACTTTTCAGTTTGCTGACTTTCATTCTTTGGAGTAATATGATCTCTCTTTTGTATGATACATAATACATTTTTCAAAAATACATTTAAAAAGCCACCAGCTTCTTAATACTTAGAAATACATACATATTCCTATGTTAAACTATTTATTTAAAAAAAAATGTTTAAAAAAAAGAAAAAAAGAGAAAAAAAAAAAGTTTAAATATGAATAAAAACACTGTAACCAAAAGTAGTTGCTTATTTTTACAAATGAAATGTGGTAAAAATAACAATGACCCCGAACTACATAGAAAGTCTTAAAGTTTATTTTGATAGACTTGCTTTTTATAGGAATTGGTTTAAATTAATTCCTTTTCAGAGATGATTCTTTGAAAAGCTAAAAATGCAGAGGTTTCACACTTTCTTTTATTTCAAATACGCATAGTAGTTACCCAGGAATACCGACTCTCCATTCTTTGTCTGTTACAAGCAAACAGATCTATGGACTGTAAGCCTAAAATGTCTCCTTTATGCACTCTGAAACGGTTGGGTGAGTCTGGCTTCTCTCCTGGCTCTCAGACTCTCGGGTGAGAGGCGGCCATGCAGCCCCCACTGTGTGTGTAGGGGTAGGGGTGCGGTTGCATGCTATGTGGGTCTGGGCCTGCGCACCCACCCACAGCAGTCAGGGGGCTGCAGCAGCGAACCCCACACCGGACACAAATCCTTTCGGCTTTGCCTCCACGCTGTAAACGCTGCCAGGATGAACAGTGCCGAGGAGCACTGCTGAGGGGGGTGTGTGTGCGTGTGCATGCGCGCGTGCGTGCCCGGGAAGCCCAGGTATTGCTGTGTCCTATTTTAGGGGGCACTTCCTCAAGAGTTCTTCTGAAATCTGCTACCAGCCCAGAAGGGATGACATCTTGTCCTTTACATAACCTGGTAGATGTTCAATGCACAGCCTCTAAACTGGGGCACAATTCAAATATCCTAAGAGCACACGCCAATCCTGAGTTTAGGTGCCACGTTTTAAAGATTAAGAAGAAAATGCAAAGTTCCCGTTAAGACTTTAAAGCTCCTTGAGGTCATCGATTGCCGGGTGCATAAACGCCCCAAATTGATGAGTGCAGTACAGCAAGTTTCCCTAATGCTAACAGCTGTAAGGAAAATGCCTTTATTCAGCTGTTCTATATGAAGCAGAATTTCAAAAGTCTTTGGTTCCTCTGAGACAAAATCAGGTTTACGAAAAACGCAGCATCTGCTCCAAGTCTATGTTGTCTCCCTCAAGACAACTGGGTGTCGGCACAAGTAAGAACAGTCTTAAAAGCACAGAGGCAAAGTGATATGCCCGGAACATCTCCATCTGCTTTGACATGGCCACACTTCATTAGTTTTAATTTACCAAAAGGAAATTAAATGATAACATTTTTTTCCCCCCAAAGCAGACTGTCTAGAATAGGACTTCAGCTTAAAACAAATCATAGCATGTTTCTCATTAAATAACCCCCCAAAGAAATTCAAAAAGTAACGATGGCAGCTCTGAAAGATGACTTGCCTTATATTACAGAGTTTGAGAAATGAAACTTGCAACATTAGCCTGAGATCTTTCTTCTTGATGATATTTTGCAGATGCCCTCTCAAGGGTGAGACCATTTTGTAATTTTGGGGTGCTGTGGACTTTAAACTTTTATTTAGACTTGGGCATTTAGGAGAGAGTGGTTTTTTTGTTTTTGTTTTTGTTCTTTTTTTTTTTTTGGAAGAATAATTCTAATTGAAGCCTTATTTGCAAAAATTACTTCTGAAGTTCTTTTCAAGTTACATTTCCAAAACACACATATTGGGTTGGTGGACTTAACTAAACGTGT